ACCTGGGCAGATTGATATAATTATAAATAATAATAATAATTTTACAAATATGAAACAAACGAAGAAAGGAAAAAGAGAGAAATATAACGTCGAAAAGATTTAAAAACTTCAATTACACCAACATTGAATGTTGTACGCCACAGCACAAGGCATCAAGCCATTGCACTATTTAATTCTTTCTCTATCTCATTTAGTTATTTATTGCCACCAAAAATTCCAAAATAAACTCAAATCATTATTAATTAAGAAAAGCTACTACTCAGTTGACGATTACCTAAATGACAAAAATAAACTTAATGAATGTTAATTTTTTTTTGTTTATGTACTGCTTAATATATTATAATCTATTATGATATGAAAAATATTTAATTATGACATGAAAATTATTAAATGTAGAATGATTGTCAAATGATATTTAAATTTTATTCTATTTTAGTTTTATTTAAGTCAATTGAATGTAAACGTAATTCTTCATTATGTGTAATTAATTTTCAAATACAATGTAATATTGTTCTATCAAATAAATGACTATGACTGTGACTATGACTAATAAATTGGCGTATGGAATTGACGACCCCATCACCCGCTCACGTAATAGTTAAGTGACAAAACTGCTAAATCAGCGCAAGTAAGCGCCTTGCCAAGAGGTGTGAGCGCCGTGCCTCGGCAGAATTTAGGGTACAAAGGCCCGTTTGTGCTTATGGCCGCACACGATATGGTGCTGGGCCTGGCCGTCTCCCGTTTATTGACGCTTAAATTATGGATGATGGACAGAAAGATAGTGCACAAAGGGCCGCTGCCTGGAGGTCGCCAGGGCGCGCCTGGAGCTGGCGCTGGACGCGACAGCATGCGGGCCGCTAGCCGAGTACGTGGCGCTACAGCCCCTCGCATCCATCATTCCCACCAGAAGGCTTGGTGTCTGCTGGGTCTTCTCGGACTCAGCAAGCGGCATCCGCAGCTCTTGGAGCACGTCGCATGCGTTGGTCACAAATAATGAATGCAAACACACTGCGGGCGTACTTTAGGGCAAAAGGGGAAAATATTAGAATTTTGGGGTATCGGGCTCGGATGCACCGCTTTTTTGCAGAGCTGGAGCCATCTCTAGCCGTCACAGAGCAATATCTGACAGACCAAGTTCGGTACATTCTGCTCTTCAACATATTTGGTGACGCCGAACTCAATCGAATATGACGTGAGGCTGTTCCTTCATCGGATGAAACAGCTACGGCTGAGAATGGGGCTCCACTACGAGTAATTGCACAGCAACCTGTATACGTGGATGCCGCCGTGGATATTCCAGTTGCGGTTGATTCAGACGATGATGGAATAGTCTCCCACGAACTAGAGAAAATGAGGGGCATATTGGAAGAGGCGATGCTGGAAACGCGCAATGCGCCTCTTAAAAATCAACCGCGACTTCCATGTAAACCCCTAAGCAAGCGAAATCGGCTATCGTGCGGGCTCTTAACCTAATGCTGGTGACCTATTTGGAAACCGGCCGGGACTCTTGCGAGACGGACTCAATTCTTTTTGGCGCACTGGCAGTTTTCAGTATTATTGGCGCCAAGCTTCCCATGACTGTATGCGCTACTAGACAAAGTAGTGCCACCCCAGTCTGGAAAAAAAGAATCGAGGACCGTGTCGCAAAGGCAAGGGCCCTTATCGGCAGACTGACAAGGTTCAGATAGGGAAATAATAGACCGAAGGTTGTGCGTAACGTTAGAATGGCGTTTGCTGGGACAAATATCAGTTTGTCCCAACCGGATATCACTCAGAAACTAACGGAGCGCATAGATAAACTGAAGCAAAAGATCGCTGCTTGGGGGAAGTGGATTCGACAATTTACCGAGAGGTCAAGGCGGTTCAAATTTCAAACAGAATCATCTCTTCCAGAGTGATCAAAAGAGACTCTATAAATCATTGGAGCGACCAGAGGTATGTGGAGCGGCCCAGGACCGGATCGAGCTGACACTGTTGCATTCTGGCGTGGCCTGGGTCAGAGTCCGTAAACCACAGGCAGTGGAGTACGATGTTTGGTCATCTGCGCGAGCGGAAGACGGCTGCGGAGAACCACATAAGGATATGAAGGGGTATCTTCCAGGGCGATGATCCGAGTCCAATCTGGTTCTGCCTCACTCTGAACTCTCTCAGTACCTTACTGGAGGGCTCCGGGAGAGAATTTCAGCTACAGAAGGGAGGGACAAAAGTGATCTACTTTTTCTATATGGATGACCTTAAGTTGTTCGCCTCCCGTCGCTCCCATATTATGGAATTGCTGAACATCACTTGTTAATTCAGCCGTTCCATCAGCATGGAGTTGTTGACGTATAAGTGTGCGGTACTCCATGTTGAAAGGGGAAGGGTTGCTAACTCTGAGGGCATAGACTTATCTATGCTTGTTAACTTAAAGGTCCTTTCCGAGGCTGAAATATACCGATACCTGGGTATGTCACAGAACATTGGTATCGATGAGGCTGGTATGAAACAGTCATTTTGCGACGTGTTTTATGCACGCTTGACCAAAGTTCTTAACAGCCTTTTGTGCGGTATGAATAAGACAAACGCATATAACGGCTGCATCATGCTTGTCCTCATTTGTACCTTTGGCATACTCAGGTGGACTCAGACTGAGCTTAACGCCCTGGATAGAAAAGTCCGCACTACCATGACGTCCCATAAGATGCATCATCCGAGATCGTCAGTGATGAGCCTATACTTGCGCGAAAGCATGGTGGGCGTGGCTTTCTGGGCGCGCTCACCATACATAATCGTGAAATGTGCAGCTTCCCTCATTGCTTCCCGGCGAGATCGGATGATCCATTCCATAATGACGTCATTTCTTGTGATAAAGGACTTACGCCACTATCCTTAGCCAACGAGCAACGGCAGGACCCAGCAGTACATAGCATTTCCGATCGGGAGACCGTATGGAAGGAGAAGGAGCTCCACGGGAGGCTCTACGTGAGCTCTTCGTAGATACAGTCGCCTCCTTCAACTGGCTACGTTTCGGTGACCTCTTCGGAGAAACCGGGGGTTTTGTCTGTGCAATACAGGATCAGGTTATTAGGACCAACAACTATTGAAGACTGCCATCCTGGTGAGTCACTTAGGCATGTCATCTCCGGTTATTAGGCGCTTTCTAACTCTGAGTACTTGCACAGACACAACCTGGTAGCCAGTATTCTACACCAGGAGCTCGCTCTGAAATACGGTCTCGTGGATCGGAAACTGCCTTATTATAAGTACTTGCCGGAAGCCGTGCTCGAAAATGAGCGTACCAAGCTCTACTGGGACCGGGCCATTACCACAGACAGAACTATTGTTGCGAATAAGCCTGATATTGTGCTGATGGACTGAACACAGTCAAGAATATTTTTGGTCAACATTGCCGTTCCATATGACGAGAACCTAGTGAAAGCCGAATCAGATAAGAAAACTAAATATCTGGACCTGGCTCACTGCCCCGATCTGCCACTCGGGTCATTGAGGCGACTGGTACTCCGTGACAGACTGCTCTGGGCTCAAATGCAGAAGGCGGTACTCCTAGATACCGCCCGCATCGTCCGCCGGTTTCTTTCCCTTTCCTAATAACCCTCGGCCGTTTGGTTTCCCCTGCCGAGGGCTTCGCTCTGGTTGGGCTTTTATTTATTTATGTGTTTTTTTTATTTATTTTATTTTATTGATATTTATGTATATTTATCGTTTCATTTTCATTTACAATTATATATTCATAGAATTCAACCAGATGAGAAAACTATATAGATACCCCAAATAATAATAATTATTATTGAATCCTAAAATATTTTACATAAATATAAAAACTTATAAAATTATATTCATTAGACTTTAGAAACCGTGTTAGGTCAACACTAGAATCATTTAAGTAATAAAAGTTTGTTCTAAACTGAGTTAGCAAGAAATAATCTAGCAAGTGTCATACCATTTTGGAGTCCTTATCAAATACACCAACTTTTAAAGTTACTGGTGAAACTAGTTTAATAATTTTATTTTCTGTACAGGCTGTAAAAATTGGGCGAAGTATTAACTTTGAATACTTAGTTCGGCAAAAGGTGACATTTTCTTAAAAGCTGGAGGAATTGCTTTAAAATTTTTGCCAACATCTTATAGAAGCATTATTTAAGATTAAATAAATTAAAAAAAAACTAGGATTTGTAGTAGCGGGATTTAAAAGATTATCACAGGTGTAGATTTTTTCGAAGATTATTTTAAAATTTTAAGTCTATTATTTTTTTTAAACATGACTTAATTTTAAATTTCATTTTTGTGATAACTATCATGACTTGGCCTATCACCCGTTTCCGTCTTGATATCGATTTCTGGTACATCTGTATATAACTTTCCACGCATGAATTATACTCAACATTTTTAAATATATTTATCACTTTTTGACTTATTTGAAAATTAAATTAGAAAAAGCAATACAAGTATATTGACTCAATTTATGTAGAATTGTAGGTTCTCTCTTAGAGTAATTACGTACTACATAATACATACGTATTATGTAGTACGTAATTACTCTAAGGAATATAATTGGGGCCAATCGGAGTATAGTTTAACCATAGATTTAGTATAGACTACAAACTAATAAGAGTACTAACGTAGTATAATGGTATAGCTTGCTACATATTTATTTATCTATGGTATAGACTCCAATGAAAGTCTCGCCCAAAGAGTATATTATATACTCTAGTATATTTTCTTCCAACTTTATATCGTTAGTCGTTACTACATATACTCTGCTCTGCTGATCGGTGTGATGATATTTTTCTTGAGTGTTTTTGTAAATTTTTCTTTAATATTTTTAAATAAGTTTTTAATTATTCAGTGTAAATAGAGTAATTTTATTTAAAGGAAATTTATTTAATGCTTAATATGTTATAACGAGTATAAAATAAATAATGGTGTTATTGTCATTATTTTTTGTGTAACTACGCATAGTGTTAAAAAGTTCAACCAAGTGATAAATAATGAACAATAAAATGGCTTCACCTAATACAGAGTCACAAGATCGATTCAAGTTATACAAATTTACAAAAATACTGACTTTGAAGGTCGCGCAAATAGTGGTTCAAAGCAGACAAGGCAAAAGGATTACGCACGAATACGCGGCTTCAAAAGCACTAGAAGATGGACTTCCAACATCGCCAAACAGTTTGCAATGGGTACATTTACATTTTATACTATTCGAACTTTGTACCTTCGTTCATTTATTGAATTTTAAGCCAAAATTTTCGCCTGAATAAGTGGACCTAAATAATTTTGTATTCAAGCAATATAAATAAATTTCATAAAAAAATTCTTTATCCATAAGCATTTTCCTAGAAATTAATTTTTGATATGTTTTTTATATTCTTTTATTTTAGTTCAATTTGTCTATCCCTGATGAGCCCGAAGTGAATACAGATACAAAACGTGTTTTAAATGGTGAAGTCATAGAAGCACTTGCTAATGTCTTGTGTATTGAGATTTTGTTAAGAACTACTGATGGAGATGAAATGGTCCTTGAGATATGGACAGTTAAAATAACACCTGGTTGTGATAGAAGCATGACATCAGTTTCAACAATTTATTATAGAATGAGCATCATGTTGAAATCCACTCTGAGTATTTCAAGGATAACACCTGCTTATAAGTTATCACGGTCTCAGTTTAAGGAGTCATATAAAATTTCCCATAAAATTTATGGTGGGCAACCAAATCTGGATGTGTTAGGTGAGTTATAAATTTTTAATATAAGATTGGGAAGAACTTGTAGTTTAAACTGTTTCTTTCTTTTAAAAATTGTTTGAAAACTTTTTTCATCTGAAAGCTGTCGTCCATGATTTTTGGGACTACTCCTAGGGAGTAGGAGTACCAGAAAAGATGCGTTAAGACCGGTGCCAACTCTAGAGCACAAGTCCTCAGCACAATTGGAGTGATTCCGTCTGGCCCAATTGACTTGTGGATCTCCAGGGAAAGGAGTGCTTTGTGAACCGCACCTCCGGCATGGAGCACTGACACTGTGGGATAGTCGGCGGTTTACTCCCCCGTCATCGAGTGTCGAGTTGCACGCAAAGAAAGAGCCTAACAGATCGGCTTTCTCCATTGCAGCATGGGCATGAGGGAATCTGCTGTAGCAACGAATCTGTAGCGATTTGGATGTGGTCGAAGAGTCGGTCTGCTTCAGCATTACCAATATGTTATCTATAGAGGCACCTGTAGATGCACAGATGGTTGTCCTTCAAGACCTTCAAGCCTGACGAGGCATGGAGAACAGATGTCCTCTCTGACGTATACTCAAACTCCAGCCCGAGGCACAAAAGAGTGTTCATTCTGCATCTCATTCAGAAAGAGCAGATCCGGCCTTGCCATCTCGAGATGGTAGTGGACAGCGTTTAGGTTAGAGAAAAGTCCCCTGATATTGCAGAAATTCACGGATAGCATGGCAGGGGTTGCCTTGGTCTTGTTGTTCAGCTTGCCCTGAGCAGTTGTTGTCTTGAGCAAAATTTTGCCCACCCCCCTTCCCTAGAACACGCGGGGCAGCCTGAGCACCTATGCTCAGGAGTGGAGTAACTTGGTTGTGGATGCACAGTGAGGGATTCTCCAGGGGTTCTGGTACCCTCCTCGAGTAATTCTTTACTTAATTTTGCTTCCATGTTAAGGTGAGGGGGGGATGGGCCACCGGCCACCTAAAACTATCTGAATTGTTTAAAATACAGATAGTTAAAAATAAGCTACTACCATCTACACAATATTTGGCCAAGGGTGAATGGCATAAATGGGAGGAAAGAGGACAGGAGAGCTGACTCACCATATATCCATACGAAAGGTTGAGGGGGGGGGGCGGGAGGGGAACGGGTATCACCTTCCATCTATGGATCCCGCTGGATTTGAATAGTTCTTTATATTTCAGAGTTTTTAAAATATTTTAGAAATTCTAAATTTAGTGCCGCCTTGATTTCTTCTTAATTCTTAAAAGCTCAAGGGTGGATAGTCGGAATTCATATATTATTTTTCTTCTGATTTTCTCCTTCCGTGTTTATTGTTTATAGAAACATGATGAAAATATTTTTTGAATAATGATGATAATATGATGGCGTTTGTGAAATACTATGAAAAGACAAGGCTCAAGAATGAAAATAATGTGGTTGTTTAGAATTCAATTGTAGTGCCTCACAGAACTACAAATTCATTAGAAACCTAGCATAACACTATTTCAAATGAAGTCAAAACCAAACATCCAATTTTAGTAAACATAGTTTTAGATTGCTTCCAAAAAAATGCCCGGTTTTAGTAACAAAGAAATTTACTAAAAAATTAGAAATGTACATTAAAAGATACAAATTTATACAGTACTACTCAATAATGAAATAGTATTGGTAATTTCCTGGACATATTGCAGAATTTATAGATTACTTATTATTATTTAAAACAAAGAAGCTTAGTTTAAATGATTGAATTTATATATATTGATATAATATGTTTTTTAATTGTTTAAGTTTCTGGTTATTAAAAATTTATCCATAATATGTTAAAGTATGAATATATTTTCTGTTGAACTTTTCTTAGGATGGAAAGGCCGAACAACAATCAAAAAGTGAATTCCGATTATCTACCCCATCTAGAGTGGATAAACGGACACTTGTTTCCAAGTATCCACCCTAGGGTTGTTATCTTAAGGTGGATAAACAGAATAATCTATGTATTGTCCTCAAAAATATCAATTATATATTTGAATAATTCTATTCAAGCATAATAGATTAAATTCTTGATTAAGTTGAACATTGCAATTTTTATAATTGACTGGTAAATTAAAAATATGTTTTAACCTAACATATAAATAAAATTAAAGTGTGTTATGTTGAATTTAGCTTAGGTATGGTGGTTTAGTGTCTTAATAAGCTTGGGTCAGGGTATTGACAGATTTGTAAACCTAAATGGTGTCTATTTTTTTTTTTTTATATTTTCCATTGCTGACTTGGGAGTTTTATATCTGTCATAAATACTATATGATTACCTCTACCTACCATAAGAATTTTCTCTATCTAATCTACCATAAGAATTTTCTAAAATTCCCTGTTATCTACATAAAGAGTTTTATTAGAATTAACATATTTTGGTTTGACTATATTTGGCAATGGAATGAATGTTGTTTTGAATTTTATTACACAACTAGCAATCCGAACTGGCTTTGCATGGTTAATTTCTAGATCTTGCAACAGCGCTACTTACCGAGTCCAATTGAGTTTTTAAAACATGCAGATGATCCACTGAAATTGACCCAAAAAAATTATTAAAATAAGTCGTATATTAAGTCGAGTCATTATCAAACTTTTTTTAAAGAAAAAGGGGCAAACGAGCATGCGGCTCACCTAATGTTAAGTGACTACTGCCGCCCATGATTAACCGCAACACCAGAGGAATTGCAGGTGCGTTGCCGGCTCTTTAGAAAGGAGAAACTAACGGACAGCAATTGATTTTTGTTTATAGAAATTAATTCAAATTGGTTTCTTTGGAAAAGAAGTTCTTGTTGTGTCAAATCATACATAATAAGAAATATCAACTACACAAAAAGTTAATAATTATCAATTTAAAAATAATGTTTTAAAATTTCTTTTGATAGGTATTTATATTTGCTGCCAAACAAAATAACAAAAGTAAATAATATTGTTCACTATTTTTTTATGAAGTCTATGTATTTTCTTGAGGTAGGTTGTTATTGGCATTTACTAAATTATTTTTGGTGAAATTATATTTAAAAGTACCAGTAGCGTAATGGCAGGATGTGAACCGCGGACTCAAAAGGTCGCGGGTTTTAATCCACCATTCGACTACTGTCGTGAGCCACTCTTAACACAAGCATTTTAAGCTTACCAGGCGTGGTTAAAGGAAATATTAAAAATGTTATTATTTAGCATTGCCAGTACTTTTTTATAAAAAAGTTATAGACATCTGATAATTGCGTATGAGGCTGGGAGGTGGTGGGTTTAGGGGAAGCCCCTTACCCTTTCCCCTTACCTTACCTTTTCCCCTTACGTAAAAGTATAGCTTATGAGTAATTTTTGGAAAATCATTACCTCACTTTTTTACACAGGTAAATTGACCCAAAGTTACTTTTGCAACGACTTCGGCGCTGCGGGAAGTGCAGCCCTTTCACCCTTCCGTAGCAAATCACAGGCAAGGTTGCTCACCTCCACAGATTTGACTTATTGGTCGCCTTCGTGACCAGCCTAAGCCTCTACGGCTCGCACAGTTGCTGCGGTTTGCTAAAACGGGCGGGGGCTGCTCTCCCTCCGCGCCTAAGGCTTTACAAAAACACTAGGGATACACAATATAAGACACAAGGACAGACAAGACTAATCAATGATAGCATAGATTCGACCTATCTTATCAATAAAGTCAAGTTGCCTTAACTTTAGTATGATAATGGTAAATTAAACAATGCAATGTGAATTGTTTTAATTTATTTTTCTGAAAAATTTCTTGACTGCTCTCCAGTCACGAATAGATTCTCTGGGTCCTAGTAATTAACTTTTATTACACCCATAAAAGTTGATTTAACATGTTAAAATAAAACCAATTGATATATTTACGTTTCGTTATATGCAATTTTTAGTGACATTTATTTTTATCTTAATTAGGTATTTAAAAACACACTTCCGAAATCCGAAAACAGTATAAAAGGTTCAAGTTTAACCCTGACTAACCTCCCAAACTCACATACGGCGCTCTGGTATGGTGGACCAAGACAAATGAAGCCACCACAATTAAGAGGCTTCAGCGCTACCAGAGACTGGCATGTATGGCTGCCACAGGCTGCATAAGAACTACGCCAACAGCAGCCTTGGAAGCGATGCTGGAGCTAACTCTGCTTCATCTACATATACAACAAGAAGCGACTTTAGCTGCCATCAGACTCAAGACCCTAAATCTTTGGAGTAAGAATAGTGTCCCTCATACAGGCATAATTGATAGAATTCACTCAGAAATTCCTATCCTACAAGCCAAATACGATAGGATTCCTAAACAATTTGTTTTCGATAAGAAATACAAGATACAATTAAATGAAAACAGCCAGCCGGAAGGATTAAGCCCAAGAGAGCTTAGAGTTTTCACTGATGGTTCTAAAACAAATGAAGGTGTAGGTTCTGGAGCTTTCTCTGAAGACCTCAATATTCACATATGCACACCGCTGGGTACCTATAACACGGTCTTTCAGGCGGAATGTATGGGTATCATTCAAGCGGCCATAGCAATAGATGCTAGGAAGGTTAATGACTTCCCCATCAGAATACTGACCGACAGTAGGGCGGTACTACAAGCTCTGAGTTGCAATGGGGTGAACTTGGGACTAATATATGAATGCCATCAACGATTAAATGAGGTATGTAAAAACAACAATGTGACTCTGCAATGGATAAAGGGACACAGTGGATCCAGAGGCAACGATGCAGCGGACGAACTGGCCAGAAGAGGATCGGCTCTGGCCACTATAGGGCCGGAACCAATCTTACCAATCCCCTTTGGTAACGTTCGTTCAATAGTACGTTGACACTTCACTAATCAACACGCTCAGCTTTGGAAAAATCTAGTAGACTGTAGACAAGCTAGGGAGGCCCTACCTGTAATAAACAGTCGCTTAACCAAAGTTTTAATGAGACTGAACAAGCCGCAGATCAGGATAGTAACAAGTGCTATTACAGGACACGGCACCTTTAACAAACATTTATTTACTATAGGTGTTACAGATAGTCCCCTGTGCAGGGCATGTATGGGGGAGGAAGAAACGGCGGCCCACGTGCTACTGAAATGTCCGGAGGTCGCTACGTACAGGGCTAAACATCTCGGCACGCCGGGATCACTCCCCGAAGTTGCATGCAACATCAAGGGACTGTTGAGCTTCTTCGGGGAGATCTCATGGCTCGAATAATCACATTATTCCTGCCCACACGCAAAATACGCGCATAGACGTGGAGTTGCGGAAAACAGCCCGTCGCAAACTAAACTAAACTAAACTAAACCTCCCAAACTGAAAAAATATTTAAAGATAAAGTGCCATACGTCTATTACGTGATTGACTTTTCATTATACGAAATTATTAGTTATTATTCGTAATTAATTCGCGATGAATTTATATAATGGGGATGTGTATTCAGCAGGGATGGGAGATATGATAAGTATATTGAACGACGAGTGAATGCAGGAAATAAAGTAAATGGGGCTCTACACTCTATCGTGAAAAGTCAAAATGTTTCAAAAAAGGCGGTATGGCAATTCACAATGCTGTATTAGTCCCTTCTTTTACGTATGGTAGTGAACATTGGGTGTGGCAGAAGAAGCACGAGGGTAGAATAAATGCATTAGAAATGCGGTCGCTAAGGAGTATGTTAGAGCTGAATCTGAGTGACATGGTCAGAAACTGTGTGATAAAAAAGAGTGTGGTTTGCAAGACGATGCGGTGACCAGGACTAAGAAAGGAATGCTTTGGTGGTTTGGTCATGTAGAAAGAATGAATGAGGAAAGACTGACAAAGCAAATATATGTTGCAGAAGTGAATGGAAGAGTCGGCAAGGGACGTCCTAGGTGAAAGTTTGTCGACCAAATTGGCGAACTATTAAAAATGGGACAAATTAAGAGTACCCTTAAACGACGAGCATGTATGCGTAGGTATATGGATGTGGAAGAGGCGAGAGAGGTATGTCAGGATCGTGCTAAATGGAAGTCTGTAGTCTCTGCCTACCCCTCTGGGTGACAGGCATGAGTGTTTATGTATTTATGTAATTCGTGAACTTATTTTTTTACATAAAACAAACAAGGACCACTTCATTAATTCAGACCTGGTACAATAATTTGTAGGCAATGCGAACACTTGTTCTATGTGGGATTCAGACCCGCGGCCCCGCAGAGGCACAAGCAAACCCTTAGCCACTGCGATCCGGAGTTGTTAAAAGTGGCCGATTGAAGTAATATTTACACACGATTAATTCATAGCTATGCTAGGATCTAAAATGTGGCATTGTAATCAAGTTGTTAAAAAATGATACATTGATGGAGCAAACTGATTCATCATCATCATTCATCATTACAGCCCTTCACAAGTCCACTGCTGAACATAGGCCTCCCCCAAGTAATGCCACAAAGCACGGTCCTGAGCCACCTGCATCCATCGACTTCCTGCATATCTTACCAGGTCGTCACTCCATCTAGTGGGGGGTCGCCCTACACTACGCCTACCGGTACGAGGCTGCCACTCGAGAACCTTTCTTCCCCATCGGTTATCGGTTCTTCGAGCTATATGGCCGGCCCATTGCCACTTCAGCTTACTAATCCGTTGGGCTATGTCGGTCACTCTGGTTCTACTGCGGATATCCTCATTTCTGAGTCTATCACGCAGAGAAACTCCGAGCATAGCCCTCTCCATAGCTCGCTGAGCGACCTTGAGCGTCCTCATACGGCCAGCAGTGAAGGACCACGTCTCTGATCCGTAAGTCATCACTGGCAACACGCACTGGTTGTACACTTTAGTTTTCAGAGATTGAGGTATACCTGACGAGAAGATGTGTCGTAATTTCCCGAACGCTGCCCAGCCGAGTTGAATCCGTCGATTGACCTCTCGGTCGAAGTTGGACTTACCTAGTCGGACTATTTGTCCCAGGTAAACGTACTCGTCAACAACTTCGAGCATAGTGCTCCCCACAACTACCGGCATAGGTGTGACATGGACATTGAACATAATCTTTGTTTTGTCCATGTTCATCTTAAGACCTATCCGTTGGGAGACACCATTGAGGTCATTGAGCATAGTGCTAAGTTCCTCCAGATCCTAGAATCCTCCGATTCTGCCATAAGGACTATATCGTCGGCAAATCGAAGGTGAGTGATGTACTCGCCATTGATGTTAATACCGTATCCTTTCCAGTCCAGTAGCTTGAAAACGTCTTCCAAAGCAGCGGTGAAGAGTTTCGGGGATATAACGTCACCCTGTCTTACACCTCTCTGCAGTTGGATAGGTTTCGAGCTCTGGTTCTGTACTCGGATAGCCATCGTAGCCCTACTGTACAAACACTTCAGCACTTCGATATACCGACAGTCAACTTGGCACCGCTGAAGGGACTGCAGCACCGCCCAAATTTCGACGGAATCAAAGGCTTTCTCATAGTCCACATACGCCAGGCAAAGTGGCAAATTGTACTCGTCAGTATTCTGTACAATCTGCCGCAGGGTATGTATGTGGTCTATGGTACTGAAGCCTTTTCGGAAACCGGCTTGTTCGGGAGGCTGGAAGTCGTCGAGTCTGCTTGCGAGACGATTCGTAATGACTCTCGAAAACAGCACGTAGACGCGGCTCAGAAGGGAAATCGGTCTGTAGTTCTTCAAGAGAGCGTTGTCGCCTTTCTTAAAGAACAAGACCACCGCACTTCTGCTCCACGCCTCTGGAGTAGTGCCACCATGGAGGACGGAATTGAAGAGCTTCTGAAGGACTTCAAGTACCGGTGTTCCACCCGCTTTCAGAAGCTCCGCTGTAATTCCATCCTCGCCCGGGGCCTTGCCGTTTTTAAGGTGTTGGAGAGCCATTCTAATCTCGCTCAGACTGACGTCCGGGATATCATCGGAATAGTGTCGGATAAGACTTGCTCTTGGATCGTTACTCACACTTGAGTGTGGCTCCAACGATGATGTGTACAGCTGCCCATAGAACCTCTCAATCTCACTCAGAATCTCAGGTGTCCCGGAAACGATGTTGCCACACTCAGTCTTCAGCCTTGACAGTTGGCTCTTTCTGGCAGACAGATCTCTGGCAAAGACTTTGGAGCCCTGGTTCCGCTCGATCGCTTCTTTAATACGAGAAGTATTAAAGTTGCGTAAGTCTCGCCGCATGCATTTGGAGACCTGTCTATTCAGTTGCAAACTGATTCATATTCTAAAAATGTGAATACATAGCACTGTAGAGCTATTAACAATGCTTTATATTTACATTGTAAAAGAGCGAATTCGGAGAGAAACTAATCGCGTCACCTATCAGAAAGGTCAAAATAAGGTCTACCGAACCAGCTAGTTTAATAGAAAACTATATACATTTTTTAATTACTTCCTTTGTCTAATTACAAGTAAGAACCTTACATTTGATGAAATTATCGTGTTATATAAATACATTTGGTACCTATCATATTTGATTATGTATAGTAAAACAATTAATTGCCAGCTAGATTTTATTCTGTAAAATTGTAATAATATTTTAAACTTGGTTGAAGAAAAATAATATTTATATGAAAGCCTTTCGTAAAAAACAGCATTATATGACAAAAAATATAATTATTATAATTTTTTCTTTGATCTGTGTAATGTGTCCCATTAAGGATTCTACTGTCAAACATGACTTGCAATGCCAGTATTAATATTTTTGAATATTATACTGTTGTTTTTTATATTAAATCTAAATTATTTTTATTACAGGTGAAAAACATAAGACTATCAAAGTAAGTGAGCTACATACTCCTATTGGTACAATACTTATTGAAGTAGTGTACAGAACAAAAATGACTATGCTACCTGAAGACAGAGGACGATATATTGAAAATACGGCTACAAATTCTGGTGGAAATATAATGATAAAAAGTGACCATTTTCCAACTGAAAGCCCAAGGTAACAGTTTCATTTAACATTATAAAGGTTGTTTTTTTAAGAGCCTTAAATAGTAATACAAGACAGAACTATTGTTGATATAATTTTTTATTATTATATACCATAGCATTTATTTTTAAATATGATTTCCGGAAAATTCGCCGCAGCTACGAGTTACATAAGTCCATTCAATCAGTCCAATTTACACTACTTTTTTCAATAGATCTGGCCATATGGCATTAATGGTGGCTTGAATATTGCCTGTCAATGTTAGAGTTGCTGGCTTGTCGCCATAAACCAATTACTTACCATAGCCCCATAAAAAGTAATCTAGAGGCGTTAAGTCGCACGAACGAGGGGGCCAATTAGCAGGACCACTTCTGAAAATAAAGTTGTCACCAAATTGATTTTGCAATAAATTGATGATTAAGCGCGCTGTATGGCAAGTTGCACCGTCTAGTTGTGGAACCAAATGTCCTTAATGTTTAGCTCGTTAATTGTTTGGAACAAAAAATCAGTCGGCGTGGTTCGGTAGAGCTCGCCATTCACCGTAACGGCAGCTCATTCCTCATTTCGAAAGAAATAAGGACCGATAATGCCGCTAGCATGTAAACCTCACCAAAAAATCAATTTTAATGGATATAATGGTAATTCGTTAATGGCATGAGAATTGTCTTCGCTCCATATATGGCAATTTTGCTTACTTACGAAGCCATTTAACCAGCAATGAGCTTCATCACTAAACAATTTTTCGATATAAGTGCTCATCTTGGGCTAGTTTCAAACTAGCCCAATCAACAAAAATGCGACGTAAACGATGGTCATTTGGCTTTAATTCTTGCGCGAGCTATATATTATAGGCACGTAAGTCAAGATCCTTACATAAAATTTTCCACGTAGTCATAGTCGAATGACAAAGGCCAACAAGTTGAGAACGGCGACGAATCGACATTTCGCCGTCTTCTTCAACACTTCGTGCTACAGCAGCAATATTCTCTTCGGTACGCTCATTTCTTTGGCTTTGAATCGAGAAGAGTAAAATTAGTGCGAAAACGTTTAATAACTGCACGAATTGCTTGCTCACTAGGCCTATTATGTAGACCGTAAAATGGACGAAGTGCTCCAAGAACTAAGCGAACCGATAAATAAAAAATTAAAGTAAATTTCCACGATTTGGAACAACGCTTTGTTCTCGCGCTAAACGATGCATGACGAATTGCCAAATCTTAATGTCAACACAGTTTGGCATTCTCAACTGTCAAACTATAGACAACAACCATCGAAACTTCTCATGCAGCTAAAAGCACCCAATAGATGCATTCTTAGCCATATGTTGAATTAGTCGTTCTTTTTCACAGGAGGAACCACATGGAAAAAAAAGAGCTTGATTTATCTAAACCTTTAACTGCAGGTGCTTTTGTTGATGTAGATAAAATTAAAGAATTACAAGATACATTATATCAACAATTGCCACCTGAGCCTTCTATGAATTGGCTTCTTGCTGAGAAGGATAAAATGGAGCAGGTAAGATTTAATCGAATTGCCTTCGGACAATAGATTTCAAAGAATTTATTTCATTTATCCATCTCTATTTTATATTTAAAAGTAGATTTTATCTATACATAATAATAATATCTTTTATTCCCCCAAACATGGAATATAAGAGATGACAAATAGATAAATGTACTTAGTTACATGTTTACGACAACTGGTATGCGAAAATTATTTTGCATATATTGAATAATTTTCTTAATTAATCAAAACAATTAATTATGTACATAATTTATTTTATAGAATAGGGGGCAATCGAGCATGCGGCTTACCTGATGGTAAGTGACTACCGCCGCCTAAGAACAACCGCAGCACCAGGGGAATTGCAGATGCGTTGCCGGCCTTTTAAAAGGAATAAGCTCTTTTCTTGAAAGCCCTTAAGTCGTATCGGTCCGGAAAAGTCGCCGGTGGTGAACAATTGCACAGAGAACTAATCCGAACAATTCCTCAGAATACTCCCCATGGTGGATACGATAGTAAACGCAAAGAGATGCAACATCCCTACGCAGCGCCAGTGAATCGAGCCGATCAGAAAGAACTCGGTCGTCGACAGTTCGAATCGCTCTGCGTTGGATGCAGTCAAGTGGAAGGAGCTGGCACTGGGGTGCCCCGGCCCAGAGATGAGAACAGTATTCCATGTGAGGCCTAACTTGCACTTTGTAAAGTTGCAAGTGATGTGCGGTCATGAAATACTCTCTGGTCTCGCTCTGCTGAGCACGTCAAGCTTTTTAGAGGCCAATTTGGCCTTCCCCTCCAAGTCCACGAAACTGCACACTATTTGATATGTCGACGCCAAGAATTCTGATGCTAGGTGAGGCAGCAAGGGGAATGCCTTCAAACTGAGGAGATACGACAAAAGGGTTATTTTTCTTCTGGGGATTGAATTGGACTACATTTAGTCACCCCCAATCAGAGACTTTGTTAAGCAAAGACTCGACTTCAGACAAGATTTTGTCCCGGTACTTGGCGACGATTTCCTGAGAAATATTGGCACGGCCTGTGTGTAAGGCATCACCAGTGATGTCCGCATAGCAATGAATGTTATCAGCTTGCAACATATCATTGATATGCTGGAGAAACAGCGTTGCACACAGCATTCAGCCTTGTGGAACAACAGCGTTAATAGGCTTGTAATCAGCGCATGCACCGTCTACTACGATCTTATATATATATATATATATATATATATATATATATATATATATGTCCCATTGTTGGGCACAGGCCACCCCTCATTTTAGGGCAAGCAAGTGTCCGCAACTCTGCCCCCATGTGTGTTGTCGAACTTCGCATGTCTGCGAAATATTTTTTGTTCTTATTTCTCAGACATGCAGGTTACCTTATGATGTTTTCCTCTACCGCTGAGCACGTGGTAAATCAGCACTTAAAATTGAAATTAACAATTTAATTGGTACCGCCGGAGATCGAGCCTGGTTTGCCGCGTCCTGTGAAATTTACATTAAGCGCTAACAGTCTAAGCTACCTATATGGTTTTGTTATTTCTAGCATTTTTATAAAAATACACAAATCTCGAGGTCGAGGACGTGTTTCACAAAGCACATAGAAGCCATACTACTGCTAGATAGATTCTATGACATATCAGCAATTGCATACCTTCGGTGGCTTTGAAAAAAGCCGTTTGGGTTTGCTTGAGCGAAAGAAAAAGATATTTACATACAATACAATACATGAACAAAAGAAAAGCATGAACAAAGTACAAACAAACAATGTACAAAATTAAAAAAAAACAAATTATATTCGAAGTCGAATTGTCTCTCTTTCTTAAAGAAAGTTTTGATTACGTCCGCGTAAAATGTTGGTGAACGTTTTAACTGTACCAATAACTGTTATTCAATTGCGATAATTGATAAGTTTGAAAGACGGTTTTGACCATGTGTATTGTCTCAACAAAGTTTAATGATTTTACCTTTTCCTCGCCGATTAGCAATTTAACACACTTCAATTCATCACAAGGAACACACTATTATCCTCCATTTTCACTAATTTAAAAAAAAAAAAGCATAAATTTTCAACTCGCAATATTTATTCACTCAAGTAAACAAACAAAGTAAACATTGAAATGTGAAGTGAAATTGCAATAGTATCGCCCGCGCGCCCCCTCACTCGACAACTTCACATCAAAGCTTCGCTTTTTGCTGCATACTAATTGCTATATAAACATTTCGTAGTTATATTTCATTGTAGAACATTTTGCCACAGAAAGGGAGCGATCGTTTTTTCGAAAACCCGGTAAAAACCCACACGTGCGAGAGAGACGACTAATCGCTCAACTCAACTCATCCTTTTTTATGACAGCAGTATCGCTAAGGCTATGAGGTCATGACCTGTGTAGAACAGAGCAGCGCGCGTGAAATGAAATAGTTTGAAACTGTTTACGAGTTATTTTATTAGTTGATATTATTGATTGAACAGTTTGATAGGGCAAGCCCGGCTTTTCGGCTTCTATGGAGGTTTCGCTACCGAAGCTACCACGGTTCTTTTTTTAATGCTTACTGAAAGTTTATTCAAAATCTTAACACTCATTGTGTAACAGTTCTTTTGATAAAATGCAGTTTCCGGGTACAATAAACAGACCAATTTTTGTGCATATGTATTTTTTTGCATGCATACTTGTTTCTTATTCTGTTCTATATATTGAATATGTACATGCCTGGAAAAGTTCGAATATTAAGATCTTTAAATAAGGACTTACATGAATCATACTATTTGCGGTTGAAAATATCCACTACCCCATATCTTCCCGTGGGTGTCGTAAGAGGCGACAGAGGGACACAGAAAGGAGATGGGCAGCAGCATCTTCCTAATAACAACAATAACATAATAAAAAACTGCGGTTGCCAACCCGCTCGCCAAGCGTGGCAACTATGGCAAATATCCCCCCCCATGAGCAACGACAGAAATAAACGGCCCCCAGTCCCCGGCGGCCCCGCTATTCCTGGCTACGGTGGCGACCATGGTAACGGCGGGGCCGGGGGTGCTAAGAATCTCCGGTGGAGGTTCGGTTGTCACCTACGACGACTCGACCTGGCAACGTATAACGCACGCACTCTGAGGACTGACGAGAAGATACTGGAGCTGGAAGAAGAGGTAGACAAGTTGCGCTGGTATATTATTGGATTATCTGAGGTCTGAAGAGAGGGGGAGGACACGGTAATCCTCGAGTCCGGCAACTTGTTCTATCACCGGGAGGGAGACCATCTGTCCCAAGGAGGTGTCGGATTTATCGTCCACAAGTCTCTCGTCAACAAAGTTGTAAAGATTGGCAGTGTGTCGACGAGGGTCGCGTACCTGATACTCAGAATCACCAAACGGTATTCGCTGAAGGTCATACAGATCTACGCACCAACCTCGGCATATCCCGATGAGGAGGTGGAGGAAATGTATGAGAATATTTCTAGAGCCATGAATTCCTCCAAAACCCACTACACGGTGTTGATGGGAGACTTCAACGCAAAACTAGGCACAAGAGAAGGCGGTGAGCTGAAGTTAGGGAAATTTGGAGTAGGGCGACGGAACCGTAGGGGCCAGCAGTTGGCTGAATTTATGGAGAAAGAGGGACTCTTTATGATGAACTCTTTCTTCCAGAAGCGGCCCCACAGGAAGTGGACCTGGTCGAGCCCCGACGGTTCGACAAAAAATGAGATTGACTTCATTATGACGACCAGACGCCAACTGTTCAGTGATGTCTCAGTGATCGCAAGGGTGAAAACCGGCAGCGATCACCGAATGGTTAGAGGCACACTGAACCTAAACGTTTAGTTGGAGAGGTCTCGTCTAATGAAGTCAACGCTCCGTCCCCCTCGTGCTCTGATCCAGAATCCCGAGACTTTTCAGCTCGAGTTACGTAACCGCTTTCAGTGCCTAGAAGATTGAAATGCAGTGGACGATATGAATGACAAGCTCGTGGAAACTGTCCATGCGGTCGGAGCTAAGTTCTGCAAGACCCGCCGCAGAAGAACACAAAAACTCTCCGATCACACTCTTAATCTCATGGCTGTTAGACGGGAGATGAGGCTGCATCGTCAACAGATTTGACAGCATACAGGCAACTGAACAGACAGATTTCCAAATGCATGCGGCAAGACTTACGCAACTTTAATACTGCTCGTATTAAAGAAGCGATCGAGCGGAACCAGGGCTCCAAAGTCTTTGCCAGAGATCTGTCTGCCAGAAAGAGCCAACTGTCAAAGCTGAAGACTGAGTGTGGCAGCATCGTTTCCGGGACACCTGAGATTTTGAGTGAGATTGAGAGGTTCTATGGGCAGCTGTCCACATCATCGTTGGAGCTACACGCAAGTGTGAATAACGATACATGAGCAAGTCTTACCCGACACTATTCCGATGATATCCCGGACGTCAGTCTGAGCGAGATTAGAATGGCTCTCCAGCACCTTAAAAACGGCAGGGCCCCGGGCGAGGATGGAATTACAGCGTAGCTTCTGAAAGAGGGTGGTACACCGGTACTTGAAGTCCTTCAGAAGCTCTTCAATTCCGTCCTCCATGGTGGCACTACTCCGGAGGCGTGGAGCAGAAGTGCGGTGGTCTTGTTCTTTAAGAAAGGCGACAACGCTCTCTTGAAGAACTACAGACCGATTTCCCTTCTGAGCCGCGTCTACGTGCTGTTTTCGAGAGTCATTACGAATCGTCTCGCACGCAGACTCGACGACTTCCAGCCTCCCGAACAAGCCGGTTTCCGAAAAGGCTTCAGTACCATAGACCACATACATACCCTGCGGCAGATTGTACAGAAGACCGAAGAGTACAATCTGCCACTTTGCCTGGCGTATGTGGACTATGAGAAAGCCTTTGATTCCGTCGAAATTTGGGCGGTGCTACAGTCCCTTCAGCGGTGCCAAGTTGACTGTCGGTATATCGAAGTGCTGAAGTGTTTGTACAGTAGGGCTACGATGGCTATCCGAGTACAGAACCAGAGTTCGAAACCTATCCAACTG